TTTTCTGGGCCTTTTGTGGCCCCCAAGAAGTAACGTCCTGCAAGTACCCGGGAGGCTGCAGGCCAGGGGTGAGAGCCACAGCTCAAGAGAGCTTGGGAATGTCCCCAGCACTCACATGTGACCACTCAGCTGGGACATGGCCCCAGCCCAGCTGTAGTAGTGACCTGCTGCTAGCACATACACTGCGTAAGGACCAACATCACCCCCCCCGCCCTTTTCTTCCCTCTGAAATGCTGGTCTTACTTTTTAAAAATAAGTTTATCATCTCCAGCTTTTAACTTCAAAGGAAAACAGCTGCTGTGTTTCCAAGCTGCCACTAGAAATTAATGCACCAGGCTGGGGGAGAGGGGCAAGCACAGGAAAGCTGCAAAAAGCACATTTGCAGAAGTTTCTTGCAGGAAGAACAGAAGCAGCAGGCTCCACTGGGTCCCCATCCCTCCCCACACCTCACTCCCACGCTGCGCTGGGGCAGCTCCTTGCCAGAGCACCGGCCTTGGGCCAGGCTCAGGAGGGAGCTGTCAGGGAGCCCCGTGCCCAGGCAGCACGGCAGGACAAACACAGCAGCTCCTGGCTCCAGTGTACGGCTCCAAGGCAGCCCAGCACCAGGCAGAGCTCAGGGAAGGGGGCTTGCACGCCACCCAGGTGCTTTGGGCTCATTTTTTAATCTTTCTGGTTGATGTCAGGGTTCTTCTCCTCTCCGCCTATCCCAGCACACCCCAAAACACCCCTGAGGAGCTGAAGGGCCTGCTCCAACAAACCCTCACTGCGAGCAGTACGTGCTGGCCTTGCTCCCACAGGGAGCTGGCAGAGACAGCGGGCTGCAGGCTGCCGCCGCTCAGCCATAGCCCAACGCCAGGGCACACGAGCCACCAGCCACGCTCCAGTCACCCCTGCTGCCACCAGCTTCCTCCTGCCTTGTTTCAGAGGGCAGCATCCAGCCCTGGCACAGAGGCAGGCTGACTGCAGGCAGCAGATGGGCCAGGGGTGTTGCCTAGCCAGGGCAGGGGGGAGCTCGGGGGGCTGCAGGCAGCGGGTGCTGCCCAGGGCTGCCTTTGGAAAGCCCCAGGAGGAGCTGAGCTGGCGCTTGTCCACAGCTGCAGGCTGGCAGGGGAAGGAAGAAGCACTTTGGATGTGCTGGCCAGGGCATGGTACCCTGCTGCCAGCCCAGCGTGAAGCACCAGGACAGGGTGATCAGGAGGCAACACGACCCACCACCCACACGACCTAAACCTGCCCCTTGCTAATCCCACACAGCTCCCCCCAAGCCCCCTGAGCCAGAGGACTGGGGCAGCTGCCCCACTCCAGCTCCCCAGCTGTGCTTGTACAGCGAGGAACGGGCCAGCAGCGCTGCCTGACTGGGATGGGAACTGGCACTATGCTTGTGTGTCGCCCAGGATGCGAAGGCCAGCATGAACACAAAGGGGTGGAATCCAAGCATGGCTCTGGCAGCCAGGAACTCCTGTCCAAGTTATTCCCCTTTTGGCTTCCCACAAATGTCTTATGCCAACTTAAAAAAGAATTTATTTTTGAACAAATCACTTTTGATTTTGGACACCCCTGTACCTGGGAGGACACTTGTCTCAATCTGGAGCAGCTGCCTCTCGGCACGGTGGTGAAATTGGGCAAAGTGTTACCTGTTTCAGGAAGACTTCATCATCTTCCTCCATCCCCCACCGCTGGGAGCTGGAGGAGTCACCTCCCAGCATGTTTTTGCAAGATCTCCTGGCTCTTTTTGTGAAAGGAAGTCCAAAGAAGATTTGGGAGCTTTTAAACACTGAGCTACACTTTGGCCTCTGCAACCAGCCTGCCTTGAGGACTGAATACTCCATTCCCAGGGGAAAACCAAGTGTCCAGCAACAACTGGGGAGCATCCCTGCTCATGCCACCATTTCACAGCGGGATCCCTCTGGTCCCGTGTCATTCATCTGCAGTTGGAGGAATCCCTACTTTCTGTGAAGTCCTGAAAGCATTCCTGAGCCCTGACGCAGCTCAGAGGCACACCTAAGGAAGAGAGATGCGATTTTAGGAGAAAAGCCACATAGCTGCGGCTTCCACCACTGTGGAAGGTCTTGTGCTCAGGCCTTTACCATGTTATGGCCAGGCACTACAGGGTGTGACAGGGCAGGAAAGCCACGTGAAGAGACCAGAAGCTTCTCTTGCTGGTGGCAAGGACAAACTCTCGCAGTGACAATCGACCGCTGCAGAGCCCCAGAGCAAGCGCTCACTGCTTGTCCCTTCAGCCATGACCAAACTGAGCCCAACTGCTCCCAGCTCCCTGCTGCGGCTCCGCTCTGAGCAACCCAGACTGCCAGTCTCACAGATGCTTCTCAGATCCATGCAAGACTCATGTCCACCTTGGTGCTGTCCCTGAAAAGCGAGGGGGAGGCCAAGGCAGGGAGTCACGGTGACCCTCAGCGCTGAGCACGCCAGACAAAGCAACAGCCACGGCCCTACTTGCCTAGAACAGATAATCTTGGAAGATAGCTTACCCAGAAACACGTACCCGCTGTGGGATGTTCACTGGCAAGGAGGGAAAAGGAGGTGGAAGGACACAGGTAGACCCAGCACAGCTCAGAGCCCTCCATCCACCCCCTCCCAGCCAGTCCTGCAGGGAGGCACTGGCAGCAGGAGATGCAGCGTCCCCAGGGGTGTCCAGATCCACCCAGGTAGTGAAAGGAGCAGCTGGTGTGGCAAATCCCTAAATACCTCTCCCTCCGTAACACCTGGGTCTGGAGGAAGGATCAAAGTTCTTTATGACACCGGGAGAGACAGACCCTCCGCTTCTGAATGCGGGAACCACTGGGCTGGATTTTAAACAGCATTTTCCCAAGCTCCGCAATTATGCAGCGATCCCATTGGGGAGTTCAGGAACAGATGATTTAGCCTGGCACCAGCCAGTCTGTCATGCTGGGAAGAGCTAACATTAACTCCCCACAGACAGAGGCGGCACGGCGAGGTGGGTGAACTCACCCCACCCTCCGCACATGGGCCTGCGCCGGGGCTGCTGGCGGTGCCTCCCGACAGCCTCCCACCTCCTGCTCCTTTTGCACGCAAACCGCCTGCCGAGATGACCACATTTACTGCAGGTTTAGCTCAGAACTTGGTTTGAAAAGGCGCTACTTAAAATATCATGGAGCAACAAGGCCTAAGGCTGCCACAGGCTCCCAGCCTGCTCTGGGGACCGGCTCTCTTCCCTCTTCTAGGGCACAAGCCCTTTCCCAAAGCACTTGCAGCCAAGGCCGACGCTCCGCCTGGCAAAGACTCCATGAACATATCCAACACACATTCCTGGAGACACCCGGACTGCGCTGCTGGCACAGCCGTGCCTGGCACTGCCAGGCCTCTCCCAGCTGCCTGATGCTAACTGAAGAGGTAACAGCTTGCTGAAAGCCTCCTGGGGCATGTCGAGTTCTTGGGAGAGGAGCAACCTACCCACCCTCTAAACAAGAGTTTGCTTGAACTGGTTCCTGATAAACTTGGTTCAAAACAGAAAGTGACCATGGAAGGTGCTTGGGTTTTATTCCACCCTTTCTCTCTCCCCTGCATAAAGTTTTATGAGCATCTCTGAAACAACCAGTTTCAACAGACAGAGAATTTACCTGGGATAAAATACTGACTCTTTTCCCCAGATGTACGCTCCAGCAGAGCGAACATCCCACAGGCCTCCACTCTCTATCCGTTCTCCCGAGGCACGTGGCGCAGCGGGAAGGCAGTACCCTGTGCATGAGTGGGGAGAGATTTGGTTGAGCACACAGTGGCATCTTGTGAACTTTATTCACTAAGTGTTCCTGGACTGGGGGGATACCCAGGTCTGCGCGGGCTACCACCACTTCCAACAGACAGAACTGAACTGTAACTGTCTCCCTGACAAACCCAAAGAGTGATAGGTATGGGGAAGAGATCGGAAACACCTCTACAATCAGTCCTTCAGGCTGCAATGAGCTTTGAAAGATCAAGAACAGTGTGAAGGGGCTGTGGAAAAGGAAACTCTGCGAAGGAAGCAAGGGCTACCTGCAAACATGCAATGCTTCAACACTGTATGGCCAGTCAACACCCTTGGTGCTGATGGTCACAGGCACGTGCCAGCTCCTCCTGCTGCAGGAGGTGGATGCCAGAGCAATCCCTGCACAAGTACTTATAGCGAGGACAGAAGATGACCCTTCTCACCTAGACGGAGCTCCCCGAAATTGCCGCATCCAATCTTCTTGCCGACCCGGAAGTTGGGACCCACCATTAAGACTCCCGAGTTGGTTCCAGCACTCCGGCTTCCATGACTGCTCCTTCCTCCACCTGTCTTGGACATCCTTTTACCTTCCTCCAGCTCCCCTTTCCCTCCTCTCTTATCAAAATCCATAAGTTTGTGATACCCCGGCCTCTCCACGGTTACGCTGCTGCCATACAAATCCCAGAGCTGCCGAAAGTTGAGGGGTGAGGAGTAAAGAAGCAGGGTTCTTCTTGGTTAATACACCATCACGGTGAGTGCTGGGAGGGCAGGGTGTGGAGAAGGAGGGATAAGTGGCTGCCCACAGGTGCTGGGCTACTGAAATGTTAGTGCTTTCAAAGGTCCCAGCAGGATTGTCATCATCGCCTGTTACAGGGAGTTCTTTGGTGGAGAGAACATCCTGCGGAGAGGGTCCTCCCAGTGTGGCTCCTTGGTCTCCCAGCTGCAGAAAGGAGAGGGAGAAAATTAGCACAAGGAAACGAGGAGGCAAACAACAGGGCGCTGTGGGCTCCAGGCTCCTGTCCCCAGCTCTGCAGAGCCCCTCCAACACCTTCCTTGTGTTACAGGTAACTCCCGCAACAAGGAAGGGTGCCACACATCTAAGATGCCGGCATAAATAAACAAACAAAAGCCTGTCTGCGGCAGGAGGTGAAACACTTGATGAGCATCTCCAGGTCGGAGCCAGCAGAGAGTCATGTGGGGAGAACCCACCTTCAGAGGCACCAGCCAAGGTGCTTAGGGCCAGGCTGCCGCTGGTCAGACCTAAGAGTCCCCAAGAGTGGGGGACACACGTAAACCACTGCGTTACAGGGAAACCACACCAGGCGTGCAATTTCCTACGAAATGAAAAGAGAATATTCTGCCCAGGCGGCTGCTTGCTGGGAGGGTCCCTGCAGGTCCAGCGGCTGCAGCCAGCTGAGTCATAGAGCTTCCCCCCAGCACCAGCCTCCGTTGTGGCTGGGACCTTTGTGCCAACGATCCTGCGCCAGAACGCGTGGGAGAGGACACAGTTTCTAAGCAGCTGCGCATGTGTGGGGAATGACCATGCTCAGGGCTCCCACGACAGCCCGCCCAGGCCTGCCAGGCTGGTGTAAAACAGACACTGGCAAACAGGAACTCAGGACTTACTAATACCCCACTCACCTCCCCGGTGAGCTCCTGATTGCTGCCTCTTCCTCCGCTCTCACAAACAAACCTTGATTTCAACTGCAAAGCTCGGAGCGAGGCACGGTGGCCAACAGGCCTGCTGGCTGCAGCCTGGGCAAAAGCCGCTGTGACACTCGCTGAGAGTAACTGATGGTCATGGATGCTTGTTTGCTCTGTGGCTGTGCAGCACCTTGCCTACCTCATGCATGCAGCTCCCAGCGCTTCCAGTGAGGCTGGCAGGAAGCCCCATGCTGGTGGTGGGGTAACTAGGGGTTCCCCTTGGCCCCCACAAACAGGCAGGACTCAGCTCAACCCCTCGAACCAGGGAGCTCCTTCCCATGTGCGCACCCCTGCTTGTTGCAGGAGGGCTGGACTAGGTGACCTTTAAGGGTTCCTTCCAACCCAAACTACTGATTGTATGACATTGGCCCACACAAGCCCCCCTCATGGTGCAGCTGAACGTGTTCACATGGGAACAGCCCAGCACCAAGGCCAAACCAGCCCCTTGCTCCCTTCCAGAGGGGTGGGATGACAAGTACCATTGACCAGCTCTGTGCTCAGGGAACCAGGTTCCCAAGGGGAAGCCATGCTCTCCCTCTACCCCAGACTCCCACCGGAGCTACCTGGGGAGGTCAGGCTCGGTCCCTCCTCACAGGGACACCCGTGTGGGAGGCAGCCAGAGCGTGCCAGGAGAAGGACAGCCAGGAAGCGAAACACGGGCTGGAAAGCACAGAGGGTCAAGCAGGAGTCAGGTGCACACTGGGAGGCCATGTGAGAGACAGACAGACTGACACATGCACGCACGCGCTGCTCTCCCCCCAGCATTCATCATCTCTGGCTCGGCTCCCAGCTCAGCCCTTGCTGCATTTCAAGCGAGCCGAGTTGGGAGGCAGCCCCTGACCTCCCTGCCCACCCCCCGGCCCTGCTCCCCCTCTCACCACCTTCCTCCGCTCCTCGCTGGGCTCCCGTGAGGCCCCCCAAGAGCCCTTGCTGCCGCAGCCTTGTTACCTGCGGGTTAAACAAGCAAACCCACGCCCCTCAGCGCTCAGACTCCAGGAAATGAGCACACTGCAAGTCCTGACGCTTGGCCAAACCCCGTAAAACTTTTTATTGGCTCTCAATGGCTATTAATAACAAAAAAAGGCTTCTTGTGCTAAAGAGTGCATGGGGGGAAATGGGGGAGGGTCTAAAAGCAACAGAGGGGAAAAAGATACCCAAGCTGGAGCTCAGCACAAGGGGAGGACCAGCCACGTAAGGGTCCGTGGGCAGGGAAGCTGCTCCCTGGGGCTGCCCTGCTCCCAGTCCTTGCCTAACACGGAATCCTCACAGGGCCCACCACAGCATCCTGGAAAAATGCTTCTGCTCTCCAGGAGGGACTGGAGCAGCAGGCACCGAAGGTGCAGGCTCAGCCCCTTGGGGCTGCTGTGCATGCATGACACCCATCTCTGGGACCTGGTTGTTCAAGTACTGGGGAACAAGCATTCCATGCGGCACAGGAGTCCCCTCCTTCCCCCGCAGGCTCTGTCCTCCAGGCTAACACCTCCAGAGCATTCCCAGAGCACAGCAGCCCCAGCACAGCAGTCTTGGCCCTTCCAAGGCCACCACCAGGAGACCAATGCCTGGGGACCATCCTGCTGCACCCAACACACCCTGGTTGAGGTAAACTGAGGCATGCAGAGCCTTCCAGCTGCCCTAAAGGCCACATGGGTAGCTGTGGGCCGGCTCCTGCCCTGACGCTGCCTTCCACCAGCAGCCAGCGGTCTCTGTCCCGTGCCAGCAGGAAGCAGGGTGGGAGCGGCAGCGGAGCAGGGCTTCCCTGCGCTTTGTTCTCCCCCAGCCCCGAGCACACACCGCCAACACGTGATATCCTGCTCATTCTTTGCTCCCCCGATAATTTCCGCCCCGGGTTCGGCACACGGCGGTGCCCTCTCCCGCCCGTCTCACGCTTCTCCCACCTCTGCTGGCCTCACGCAAGAGTGCCAGGAAGCTATTTCCCCCGCGACCTCCCAGCTCCTGGAGCAGGCGGCACGGTACAGCCTTCCCAGAGCGTTTTGGGAGCCTTCTTCCCCAGACATGGCTCCTGCCACACACTGGGGAAGGGGAGGCAGCCGGTGCTGCACAGGCCATGCTGCTTCACACCCCATTTTCGTTTTGAATCAGACCTTTACGTTCAGTCCCAGGGGATTTCAGGCCCAGACTGTTTGCACAGTCAGGCGGCCGACAGCCAGAGCCAAGGGAGCTCCAGCCCTGGCACTTGGGATTATTTTTTTTAAGGAGTTATGGGCCAGTCTCTGCAAGGGAATTTCAGACAATGGAGCGAGACAGAGCTGTAACAGAAAGGAAAAAATAAATACTGTTTCCTGCAAGCACTGAGAGACTGCAGTGTCTTCCCCCAGCCCAGACAAGCGCAGGCAGCAGCACAGCACGACTCTCCAGCTCTGCCTGCACAGCAAGCCCCAGCCTCAGGAGCAGCCCCCCCAAAAAAGCCCAGCTCCAACCCCCAATTTCAGGCAGCTGGGCCAGGGCAATGACTGGTGAGGCGACAGCCCTGACCCCCGTGCCAGGACTGCGTGCCAGCCGGCTGTCGCACTGCAATTCCCCCTTTCCCAAACCCGGGTGATCAGAGCAGCAGGAAGTTGCTGAAACG